TCTAAAAAATAAAGATTTAAAAAAATATTAAAATTCTAAATCCCATATAGACTTAAAGTGTACTATGAGTTTGGGGAAGACTTATCTAAGTACAGAGGAAATAGCTCCCCAGGAGATGAAGCATGTAGGTACCTGTAGATAAAGAAAGACTAGACTGAGGCACATTATTGATTCTAAGAAGTAGAAAAAAAGTTATCTCAATAATAATGGAATTTTTTTTTTTTTTTTTTTTAAGAGACAGAGTCTCACTGTATCGCCCTGGGTAGAGTGCTATGGCATCATAATTCACAGCAAACTCAAACTCCTGGGTTCAAGCGATCCTCTTGCCTCGGCCTCCCAAGTAGCTGGGACTACAGGTGCCCCCCACAACGCTCAGCTAATTTTCTATTTTTAGTAGAGATAAGGTTTTACTTTTGCACAGGCTGGTCTTGGACTCCTGAGCCCATGCCATCTGTCCACCTCGGTCTTCCAGAATGCTAGGATTACAGGCATGAGCCATCATGCCTGGCCGGACTTTTGAAATTTCTAACAGAGCTCTCGGAAGGTGCTATGAAGCCTGTACTTTGGAATCAACGTACTTGGCAATATTGCCTCAAAGTTATAAGTATAAGATTGAAAAACATGGGTATGATAAAATACTATAGGCCTTGGGCAGTGATAACAATGCAGTAACAGCCGACACTTGCACAATGCACTGTGCCCAGCTCTGTTCTAACCACTTCATGCCGAATCTTCAAAAAGCCCCGTGAGGTAGGTGGTATTTATTTCTTTTTTAAAAGATGAGGAGACAGGCCTAGAGAATAGCTTGCCCAAGGTCACACAGCTAGTCAGCGGCATTTGGATGCAGGCAGTCTCCCTTCAGAGTGTACGGGTCAGGTGGTGACAGGGTGTAGGACACAGGACACTGCTTCTAGTAGGTGCTCTCTATTGAGCCCGGCACTATTAGAATCAAATTGTTATTTCTCAGTTGAATTATGTGAAGTGGAATCTACCACATTAAAGAGCTTTAAAAAATACCATTCAGGGCAAAGACAAAAAATAAAACTTTATCAGAGCTGTTTCCCCACTTAGTTGAAATACCAGATAAGCCCCAACAGTGTACAGTGAACTACACAGAACAACTAGGAAGAGGGAGAAGGCGTTCAAAAAAGAAGCCAACCTGGGCGGCGCCTGTGGCTCAAAGGAGTAGGGCGCTGGCCCCATATACCGGAGGTGGTGGGTTCAAACCCAGCTCCGGCCAAAAACTGCAAAGGAAAAAAACAAACAGCCAACCCACTACCAAGAAGTCACTTAGATAAGTAAGGGGACAGTCTCTCCTACCAGCTGCAGTCCCCACATGAGAACTGGACTCAGAAGTTTCCTTGACCGGATTCTGAAATTATTTAACAAAGGAGTCCAGGGCATAATAAATTTTACCTTCATCTGTTGCCTCTTCTGTTTCAGCACTGACCAACAACTTGAAGCTACAGCCTAAATATACGCAGAGAAAAGCAAGATTTAAATCCACAGCTATATAAATGTTTCCTTTTAGAAAAGAGTGATTTTTGTTAGAAGTTCAGAGTTTACGGGTCTAAAAAGTTTAAAACATTAAGTACTAATAAAAACTAGTCCAGGGGGCGGCACCTGTGGCTTAGGGAGTAAGGGCGCTGGCCCCATATATTGAGGGAGGCAGGTTCAAACCTGGCCCCGGCCAAACTGCAAAAAAAACTAGTCCAGGATGCTTAAAAAATATTTCACTTTTATACAATTAAAAATTAAATACAAAGCCACTGAAGGAAAAAGACTGAAACCTGCTACATGGTGACTGGTAATTAAAATTCAATTCTCAGAGTTCTTAAATTCTGTTCCCAAGGGGCAAAAAGTGATAATATGTGTATGTAGGTACCCATACACAAATAAATGTTCTAATGTATAGTAAAGACAAAGTTAATAACCTCCAACTCCTGGGCTTACGTGATTCTCTGCCTCAGCCTCCCGAGTAGCTGGGACTACAGGCGCCTGCCACACGCCCGGCTATTTGTTGTTAGAGTTTGGCTGGGGCCGGGTTTGAACCCGCCATCCTTGGTATATGGGGCCAGGGCTATTCACTGAGCCACAGGCACCACCCCTGGAAAATTTTTTAAAGGCATTCAAACTTGATCATCAAATATGACGCCCACCCCACCTTCCTTCCAGGTACACAATGAAATCCCAACAAAAACAAATGTCAATCTGAGCTTGGAGTACAACATACAACAGAAAGGAAAACATTCGAAATACAGAATATAGTTTAAACCTCTTTTATTTTGAGTAGTTTTTCTCCCCTGAGTTCTGGTAGCATTTGAGAACATGAATCTCCATATTTTCCTACTAAAGATATGCAGTCACTTTTTAAAAACTATGAACTGCTGTATTTTGGTTTAATCATTCAGCCATTTCAGTTATAGGCAATATTTTGCTAGGCCTGAACTCATCTGAAGCCTGAGTTTCTTTGGACACCTGATGAAATACTGAGTCCACCAGGTCAAAGCTGGGACTGGTGGAAGGGGAAACAAAGAGAATGTCATCTGAAGGTGTCACACCACCCACTTCTGACCCCAATGCCAAAGTCTGAGCTTGGCTTCCACACTAGTCATTCAGCAGGCAGGTACACACACAGAAACCGTATTAATCTTCCCAGTTCTGACCATTTTAAAAACCATAGCTAAATGGCTGAGAAAGGTAAACTATCACTTACTGTTTCTTTGAAGGAAGAGTTTAGCCAGCGATTATTTACTACATTCTGTATGGACGAGGGTGGGTTTTCCAGATCCTCAAAGGAATCCATTAGTATGAAATCCAGAACAACATCATAAAAGTTTAGATGTTTCACCTGCATTAAATTATGAGTATAAGCAGAAATTCTTTTTCTTTCTTTCTTTTTTTGAGACAGAGTCTTACTTTGTCACCTTTGGTAGAGTGCCCTGGCGTCATGGCTCACAGCAACTTCCAACTCTTGGGCTCAAGCAATTCCCTTGCCTCAGCCTCCCAAGTAGCTGGGATTATAGGTACCCACCACAACACCAGGCTATTTTTACAGATGGGTCTTGCTCTTGCTCAGGTAATCCATCTGCCTTGGCCTCCTAGAGGGCTAGGATTACAGGAATGAACCACCACACCTGGCCCGGAATTATTATATAGAGCTGAAATAATTTTTTTTTTTTTTTTTGAGACAGAGCCTCAAGCTGTCACCCTGGGTAGAGTGCCATGGCATCACAGCTCACAGCTCACAGCAACCTCCAACTCCTGGGCTCAAGCAATTCTCCTGCCTCAGCCTCCCAAGTAGCTGGGACTACAGGCGCCCGCCACAACGCCCGGCTATTTTTTGGTTGTTTGGTGGGCCCAGGGTGGATTCGAATCCACCAGCTCAGGTGTATGTGGCTGGCACCTTAGCCGCTTGAGCCACAGGCGCCGAGCCTGAAATAAATTTTGAGCCAAGAATTTGTACTTTTTAAGAGCAGGATTTTTTTGAGTTGAATCAGATTATTTAAAAAAAGACAAAAAAAAAAAAAAAGAGGAAGAAAGGGATAAATATGAAAACTCACCACTGGAAATGACAATTGGCTAATTACGCATGGTAGCTGCCCCTTCCTAGATCTTATCAAGGGAAACTCCTCTCTCCCGCCTGTCTACTCTAGCAGTCCTTTGTTCCTGCTCCTATCACAGCACCCACAATGCTCACTCAGCTTTGCTATTTAGTTTCTGGCACGTGGCCGGTCTTCCCCACCAGACCAGGAACTTGCTCTCTCCCTGGTTCACACACACTTGCTACTCAGCAGATGCTCAGCAGGTGCTCAGACTTCTACAGGCAAATCAGCTGCCCAGAGTCTAGTGGAGAAAACAGACAGCAACAAAATAATCCTACAATTACACAGTTACAAACTGTGATAATAATTTTTTTCCTTACAATAAAGGGAAAAGTACATGTGTATGGGGCTGTGAGAGCTTTTGATGGAGAGTGTGATTTCAGCTGGATTTCAGAGAGGGCTTCTTTCAGGGTGTGAAGCATCCCAGGTAGAGGAAAATCCCTCCAGAGACGTGAAGAAGAAACACACTGGTGTTGAACTGTAGAAGACACTGACAGCAGCAGAAGCACCAGGGAGACAGGCCAGAGGCAGGAGGGACCGAGTGAGGACCCCATGAGGACCCCACGTCATCCCCATAGGATTCTGGAGGGGGGGAGAGCACTGGTGGGGCTAGGAGGGAGACGATCGGATTTGTATCTTTTAAAGCTCATTTTGGCAGGAGTGTGGAGAATGAAACGGAGAAGGGAAAGAATACGCAGGGAGGGGAGTGGGCAGGGAGGTAGACCTGGGAAAGGACAACAGGTCTGTCGGATGGAAGAGGGAGATACAGAGAAAAGATGGAGAAAGTTGGAGACGTTCACAAGTTAAAACGGACAAACATCAGAGATGCGTGTGAGAAAGTGAGTGGAGACGAGGGAAGGTCAAAGGCAAATCCCAGGTTTCGGGCCTAGAGAACTGCTCATACATCAAGTATGTAATTGTGCTTCCTATTTTCACTGCCTGGAATGCCTTTTAGCTCCTTGCAAAATTCCTTAAGCTTCCATTATAACAAAATGCTCCAGGCTTTTCATGTACTGATCCCATCCTAGTGCTGACATCAGTCATTTTTTGAGAAATTCTAGTTCCTTTTACTGAAGAGTGATAGTTAGAAGCCAAAATCTTTGTGCTGGGAATAATCTCTTTGGGGGTGATGCTTAACTCCCAGACCCGCTCAGTAAACAGAACTAAAAGTACACATACGTTTCTGTCCACATAAGCCTCTTATTATATCTATACTTATTTCTGTATGTGTAGAATAAACTATGAATTCACAGACAGCTCTGATTCCAATTCTAGCTTTTTTACACCTGTATCTAACAGTGAAAATTTTTGGTTCTGATTTTTCTGAGCATATTCATTTGTTCCATCCTGTGTAGGTGCCAATCCCCCAGCCCCACTAAGCTGCCCCTATTGTCCTTTTGTGAACTGTCCCTGAATAGGCCACCACTACTGCCCCGCTAGGGCCCTGCCAACTGACCTTTGAATGGGAACAAAGAAAGAAGGGAAGGAGAGAAAGAGAGAGGGAGGGAAGAAAGAACCCAACAAAAGATAGAAGGCATTTTAAGAAACAATTATTTACAACTGTTGCCTTAATGTATACAAAGTATAGCTGCTACTGTTTACAACCCAGTCAGAAGAATGATGTTGCCTACTACCCCACCACTGGCTTTATCGCCATTTAAGGAGGACAAGGAAACAGGGCCTCAACTCCACAAACACGTATGTCTACTATAAACAGCTAACTAAGGAGAATACACACTATAAAAAATTGGGGGGTGGCACCTGTGGCTCAGTGAGTAGGGCACCGGCCTCATATACCCAGGTGGGCAGGTTCCAACCGGCCCTGGCCAAACTGCAACAAAAAAATAGCTGGGCATTGTGGCAGGTGCCTGTAGTCGGGAGGCTGAGGCAAGAGAATCACCTGAGCCTAGGAGTTGGAGGTTGCTGTGAGCTGTGACTCCACAGTACTCTACTGAGAGCAATAAAGTAAAACTCTGTCTCAAAAAACAAAAAAATTTGAACTTACCCCTCTAGCGGCAAGTTCCATTTCAGTGCTGTCCCAGTGATCAGTCTGCTCTAAAAAATAGATCATTTCATCAAAAACATCTTCAAACTTCTTTGGATTCTGCAGAAGAAAACACAGTTTAATTCTAAACTCCACTATATAGTAAGTTACCAGCTTACAAAGCAAGTTACTTATTACTCTTTAAGTAAGTTTGTAGGATCTTACACTATTAAGTAAATGAACTAACATACGTTTTTAAGGTATGCCAAATTTACCTGAATTACTATTTTGTCCAATGTTTTGCAGAAGCCAAGGCTCAGAATGTTAGTAAACTGAACAAACTATTCACTACTCAAATATGTATGCCTATCTAGGTTAGTCCTTAAAATGAAAACCTGGTTACAGCAGATGCTATGTGATGTTTTATTTCAGCTCCTTGGGGTAGAACCCAAATTCAAGTCACTGGGTTTATCTGCCATGGGAAGTCTGAGAAAGCAACACACAATTTACATTGGGAACTGCCAAGGAGTCAGTATCTCATTGCATATACTCAGTACTTTACTTTTTTAAGTTGCTTTCTCATTTTTCTTTTATTTAATCACAATGACCCTTTGAAATAGGGGGATATAAATATAAAATTCTAGGCTTGCCACCCATAGCACAGTGGTTACGGCGCCAGCCACATACACCAAGGGTGGCAGGTTCGAACCCAGCTCAGGCCAACTAAACAACTGCAACAGAAAAATAGTTGGGCATTGTGGTGGGCACCTGTAGTCCCACCTAGTTGGGAGGCTGAGACAAGAGAATCACTTAAGCCCAAGAGTTGGAGGTTGCTGTGAGCTGTGACGCTATGGCACTCTACCAAAGGCAACATAGTGAGATTCTGTCTCAAAATAAATAAATATAAAATTCTATTATGCAAGTGAGGCAACTGAGGATCCTTTGAGGTTCAAAGCGGGTGGGTCTGAAAACCAGGTATGCAGATTGCTCAGGGAAGGCCTACTTTATTTAGTTTTCTTATCATCTGGACAAACCTTACATAAAACAAAGGGGTTCCTTACAGTCTGAATGAAGTTCTTGTCAATGCTTCTGCCTCATTCCATTTCATGAGGAGTAAAATGGGGCTCAAATTGTAATCCAGATTTCTCAGACCTGCACTGTTTCTTGAGCAGTATGGAGGGAAGTAGGAGGGGAGGTATTAGTAATAACCACAGTGCTGGCTATGGGAGGAGGTATTAGTAATAATAACGGTGCTGGCTATGGGAGGAGCTCTGATGACGATTCTCATCGTGACATCCATAACCTTCATGGTACACGCGAAATAACTTAGGAGAAACACCTTGGTCAAAACGGTGTGCACCTTATACACAGAAAACAATTCAACCCAAATAGAAACTAACCCTCTTTGAGTTATTTACTTTAGAAATGTGAACCTCTCCATGATCCACAAAAACTTTTTCTTCTATCAAACATTTAATATATTAAATCTTCAGAGCCATAAAAATAATAAAAACCTTGCTCACAAAACAAGTTTACCTTTCGAGCTTTCACAATTAAAGCTGACAAAATTTTCCTTCCACTCTCAGCAAGGAATATCCTGTTGGCTGTTTCTGAAAGAATTACCTGAAAAAAAATTCATCCCCAAACAAAGAGAAAAGAGACCTATAATGAATCTGAATGGATGTTCAACTTTATATCATGTCTCTGCACAAATAAACCCACCACTGTGAATGCACCACACAGGGGCTGTTTAAACAGTTAGAAAACAGAGAAAGTCCCAATCTACTAAATAAAGAGTTCTTGAGTCTTAGAGCCAAAAAAGGACTTAAGAGGAATAAACTTGAATTTAAATTCTGTTCAACAGAATACTAGAAAGTATAAAATAAATTTTGTATAGCCTCAAAACATAAGAAAACAAAGATACTTTGTTATTAAGTGGCCTTATTTCTTTTTAGGAAATCAGTGATTTTATAACTGATCTGAAATTAAATCTAGAATACACTCCACGTGATAAGAGGGTTTTTATTTTAAGTAGCCATTTGCACACACTTGCAGCATCAAAATTTCCTGTGGTGACAAAGTGTGGTGGACCTGGGGAGCCGTCAGAGAGGACAGAGACACATGGACACAGATGAAGGGAAGCAGAAGGGAGGGACACTGAGGTCAGGAGACTGACATTTGCCATTAGGGGTAAGGACAGGACGGGGCGAGGCGGTCCTGCTCATAAACACTGAACTCTAACATGAGGGTGGGATGAGCGGCCGGGTGAAGTCACTGACATTAAAAAAGAAAATACCTGAAAAGCCTGTCGAATACAGTGAAGTTTGGCAAGAAAATCACTGTCTCCCAGACACTCCAACACTTCAGTTCTATGTGACAAACAGGGAAAGACAATTAATTGTTAAGCTACATTTGAGTCAAGCTGACTACAAATCTGGACTAAACAAGGCTTAACCTTGGGACCTTAATATAAAACACATGTTTTCTCAACACTGGCAGAACGTGTAATAAGAATGTTTTTTACTTGGACCTAGAAACATACTTTTCCCTGTTCTCACAAACATTTTTAATAAGCATCACACCAACACCTAACATTCGTCATAAACATACGCGGAACTGAAGGGTACCTCAGCACTCTGGAGTAAATTTTTCCTTCTTCCACTAAATGCACGGCTTCCTCGTAGAAAGGGCAGTGACAGAGAGACTCGAGGCTGTAGGGGTGGTGCACGTCTCTGCGCTCTCCAAGCTGAGAAAACAGTGGGTTAAAACACACTATGCTGATGTAAGGAGAAAAACTAGGAGAAAAAGAAAATAGGATTCCACTAACCTCAAACACACTAAATTTGAGTAAATAATAAAAGCCATTCAATAGCATTTTACAGCTACTAAGACCTGAATTCACTTTATTTCAAAATTCAGTTGTTACAAAGAGTAAACTTTATGACAAGCTTAGTTCTTTTTGAGTCCAATTACTTAACATAGACTGCACAGGAAAGCAATACTACATCTTATTCCACTGTCGAGAAGAACTGAAAAGAAAGCATTAAACAAAAGAAAGGAGGATTTTGGTTCAGCACCCATAGCACAGTGGTTATGGCGCCAACCACGTACACTGAGGCTGGTGGGTTTGAACCCAGCCCAGGCCAGCTAAAGAGCAATGCAGCAAAAAATAGCCAGGTGTTTGGCGAGTGCCTGTAGTCCCAG